GAGAGAGAGAGAGAGAGAGAGAGAGAGAGAGAGAGAGAGAGAGAGAGGGAGAGAGAGAGAAAGAGAGAGAGAGAGGGAGAGAGATAGAGAAAGAGAGAGAGGGAGAGATAAAGATAGAAAGACATAGATAGAGAGAACGAGAGAGAGAAAGAGAAAGAGAGAGAGAGAGAGGGAGAGAGAGAGAGAGAACTGGTGGTACATTGAAATGCTACCAACATCGGAAAATGGGGTGTTCATAAAGTAGACCAGCGAGCGGTTGGACGACCGTGACGTGTCTTTTAACCCTTTGGAGTCCGTAACTTTTTTGCTTCCGCATATTTTGTCGCAGTCACGAAAATGCGCACTCCATTTCCACCATAACTTTGGTTCTACTTCACCGATTTTGAAGATCTTGGGCTCGTTGGAAAGCTCTTGATGAGAGAAATACAACGCACCCAAACTTGCCAAGAGCACTTTTCATTGTCCGCCACAACGCGCCCCAAACGCGAGTCCAGCTCCAGATCTGAGACGAAATTGGTCTCCTGTAGCCATTTCACTGAATCTGGCTCGGAACTGTTCAATTATTTTCGAGTAGAAGCTTACCTTGCCGTGACTTCGCGCCGCGCCGGTCCTGGCACGTGCCGCCTGTCATGAAGCTGGGAAAATCCCTTTTTTTCACGCACTGCTGACTCGCAGCACGCAGCGCAGAAAATTCGAAATGTTTGATCGCTCGCCGCTCACTCAAATTTCATCGGAGAGACTTCGGATTTGTTCGAGACGATAGCTGAGAGTTTTCTCTACCATCTAGACCCTTCGATTGTTGAATTTGGTCAAGATTTGGCCGAGAACCGAAAGTTTGAGTGCGCCCACATGCATACAAAATGCCCATGGTTCGAAATCGAACCATGGACTCCAAAGGGTTAAAGCACAACCGAAAAGAACTTTTATTTTAGGATTTACTTGGAGGCAGATGTCACCGCCCGCTATAATTTGTAATGTACAGAAGTACATGTACATGTACTTCGAAGAAAGCTTTTCCGGTACTGTGGGAACCGCTGGCTGAAGTGCTCGACATGATTGAGAGCAGTCTCAAGGATATGCAAATTATCAAGTTTTTATGCCGACTCACGGTGATGAGAAATCTGCGATAGAATTTCACAATGATGCAACGCTCATGTCGTGATCTGGGGAATGGGACACTGCATTTCACAATGATGCAACGCTCATGCCGTGATCTGGGGAATGGGACATTGCATCCTATCCTGTCCACAGACTCGGAGTATATTGCGGTTCGCTGTTATAATAATAATAATAATAATAATAATAGCACATTTCGCGTAGTAGAGCACTAAATAAAGAAATTCAGTGTTTTTTCCGCTTCTGTCTTGTGATCATCATCAGCTAGGTGTAGTAGCTGCTGATACCGTTTTCTCGCCGGGTGTCGAGCTGCACAGTTTCCTCCAGTCTGTCTTGTCTGCTGCTTGTTGTCGGCACCTGGAAAGGTCTTCCATGGTCTTCATTGGCACACCCAGCTTATCCAGCTGAGCAACCAGACTTGTGGCCAGTGTCAACCTTGGCCGTCCACGAGGTGCTTTGTTGCCCTTGTCAAAATAGCCGCTCATGGCTACTTGCGGTGGCGTGTCCGTGTCCATCCGTAGCACATGACCGGTCATTCGTAGTCGCCTACATGTTCTCTTCATCTGCTATCTGGAGGCTGCACTACAGGAATGCAGAACTCGTCTCGCGCCCCGCCCTGCTGGCGACGCAAGTCTACCACCAGAGACGGGTTATGCAGATGACATCTCCTATTATTCAACCTGCAGGCTGTGGCTTGAGAATGCTCTGCCTGTAATAGCAGACACACTGCACGATTGGTCATTAAAAGTAAATCCAGATAAAACAGAGTGGATCCGTGTGTCACCTGAATCCGAGAGCTGGCGGACATCTAGGCAGCTTGGCTCCTTGATGGGGGAGGAAGAGGATGTTCGGCGCAGGATGGAACTTGCCTCTCGCGTGTTTGGCCAGCTGTACGCCCTATGGCTGCGTAGAGATAAAGTAGCGGAGAAGACACGCTTACGCCTGTACAACGCTATCGTACTGCCGACATTCCT